AACATTGATAATTTTAATACTAATGATCAAATTATATATAATGAAGCCGTAATTGAATCTTCTATTCAAACTACGCATAGTATTCAAAAAAAAAAACTTTTAAGGAGTGGTTAGTCTTAGAAAATCTCGATAATGCTTAATTCTTAAATTAATCATTAATTGTATATGATTAATTGAAATTTGCTACTAAAAATTTAAATTAATTTTAAAAAAAATAAAAATATAAATATTAAACGAAGTTTTTTTTCTCTAATCACCACTGATTTTTCATCACCTCTGTTGTAAACCTCCTTTCCCAGTCCGCCAATGCATCCTTACATCTTTCATAATCTCTAAATAGATTATTGTATGCCTCTTTAATTCCCTCTGCTATTACTTCCGCCCGCTCCCTCCTTTCTCGTTCTTTTTTTAACTCCTCCTCCGCCTTTTCTCTTCTTTTTCTTTCTTTGGTCAGTTTTGACCTTAGCTTCATTGCATGCGTGAAGCTGAAAATTTAATAAGTTTTATATTTATATTTGATTTTCTTACTATTATTTAAAAAAACTATTTTTTTTACCTGTTGTTAGGTATCTGTTTTTTTTTCTCACTAAAAATATTCGTAATTGTTATTATTTGTTATTATATAAATTCTTATTTATTATTTATTCTATTTACCTTCTTTGGTGATGATCACAACGAGCCATTTTTGTTTTTTTTTTCTTTAAATTTTAAGATGGAATAAAATTTAAATCAAAATCAAAATCAATAGCGTGGGTAAGTGCGCATTACATCAATTAGTTAGCTGTGAGACATCATCATGCAATGATTCGAGTTGACGGAAGGTCAACAGATTGAAAAGTATGCTAAGCAGGGATATGCCGGAACCAGACCACCATCCAAACCGGTTAATGGTTGGATTATCCAGATCAAGCAAACAGATAAGCTAGCGGCACATGAAAATCTCAGTTAAGTATAATTCAATCAATTGCTCAATTCGGAATTATTGGAAGACTACTTATAATAACTTCGTTGTTGGATTGAATATAATGATTAGTTACCAGTCAGATAACGCCCCATCAAAAGCAAGAAGCGAGATTCGCACCCAATCCCTCTTTCGGCTGATGACGGTGATACTCCGGCGCAACTATAGTTGCTATTTCTGGGGACATCTTTTGTCTTAGCATGCACATCAATTGCACTGATGTAAGCTATACACCACATCATATTACTTGTACATCAATCGCACCGATGTACGCTGAATACTCTCGAATAATAATCATTGCACCTGCTGCATCTTATCTATATATAATTTACAAAGCTACTTGTACATCAATCTCACCGATGTACTTTCAATATCAATCACTGTACTTGCAAGTCGATGTATGCTGCATCCTCTCAATATATAATCATTGACATAGCTTAACACACGGCATCATTAGCCGGAAGCCAGGCAGAATCCTGCCATTTGTCGTATCTTTAAACTTCATATCAAGTAAAATGTTAATGTCATTAAAGTCTACAGAATAGAGCAATATGAAAAATGATTAGAATTGTAGACATTCGTTTCTTTATTCTTTTTGGAATGCCCACCGATATAAATATTGGTTTAGTGTAATGATTAATGCCCGTGTAATGAACAGTGCTTTTGTTTAATTTCTTGAAATGTCTTATGTATATCAATAAAATAATTCTCGCTGTTACGATAATTGCAGTCTGAAATGTTTTATTGATAAAAAATAAATTTCGCAATCCTAAATCAATATATAAAAAATAACTACCTGGTAATTCTAATAATGATTTTATAAGCCGATACAACTCTCCGGATTTGCACTCAAACAAGAGTATTTTATTTGGCTCATCTTCACAAAACAAAAGTAATCCTCTGTTGATTGAGAAATAACGTGTATTGATAGTTGTTGTCCTAATACAAATGGTTAATGAGAACTTTTGAAAAAAGACTCCTAATTTGATTTTCCTAAAACTTACCTTTAGTGTTAATGCTAAAAATTTTTGCTAACTAATTATAATCAAATTGCTTTATGATTTTCCAAGATGTAAAGTCAATACAAATGGTTAATGAGAAATACAAATGGTTAATGAGAACTTTTGAAAAAAAGACTCCTAATTTGATTTTCCTAAAACTTACCTTTAATGTTAATGCTGAAAAATTTTGCTAACTCATTATAATCAAATTGCTTTATGATTTTCCTAGATGTAAAGTCTTCAAATGCGTCTTTAGCACCGCATGCAAGTCGGTTATGATCTGGCTTTTGCTTCCTCATATCTGATTCAGGCTTTCCAGTTTTCACGTTTACCAATTCAAGTTCTTTGTCCCCAACTTTAATGTGAAGCATAAAATCGGGTTAGTTCCCAGTTCTTTTTTTCGAATCTTACTAGACAAACTTTCTATTTCACCACTATAATTAAAAAAAAATTTATAATTTTAAATATAAATTAGGATTAAAAAGGGTAAATTTACCAATTCGTTTTATAGTCCATTGGTAATGCCAACTTTACAAAGGTTGTACTCAGGATAGGTGCTAACAATTTAGCAACATAAGTTCAGTCGTTCATCAATTTGATTCAGTGTGTCATCATATTGTATTCGCCAAAATTTTCTCTCTAAAAAAAAAAAAGGATAAATAATAATAAAAAATGAATCAAAATAAAAAAAAGGTAAATATTTTTTTAGTGCAAGTAAACAAGACGTCTTCATATAGTATATTAGATATTTTGTTTGCAACTTCTTACCATTCTTTCGTTCATCGAATAAGTCATCATATTCATCTTACTCTCGAGATTTTTTTTCTTTAACGACTTCCACTTTTGATGGCTTTGAATTAATCCACCAGCAGCTGTTTTCAATTAATCATTCTCGTCGAGCTTCATATTTAATATACCCATCTATTTAAAATGGTAATGAATATTACAAAATATTGCACAATGTCATTTCTCAGAGTTATTAATACAATACCATACCTAAAATTCTTCTTGGCAATCTTGCGGCAGGTTTTAATAATTTCTGATCTGTTACATAATTCCACTCGTCAGTAGATCATCATAATTCAATTCTTCAATTTTTACTTTTTATGACTCTTTAATTAACAGGGAACAAAGGCATGATCGAGCATTTTGTTTCTACATTCGAATGAAATGAGTAAATTACAGAATATCATAATTAATTTACTATTTAATGGTTAAGGAGTTAATAAGGGTCTCCTTTAATTAAAAGAATTGTTCAAATTGCTTACCATTAACATTTTTAAGTTTTCTATATTTTTTGTTGCGGCTTTTCTAGTCACCAGTTTCAATTGGCTGAAGGAGTATTTTTTACTATTTAATATATTGTTTGCGAAAAAAACCTATGGTTTTTAACTCCCACTTCTATCAATGCTTTAAGAGATTTAATTGCACCGATGTCTTGTATAATGACAAAATAAATTAGTAAATAAATCGTATAATGCGTTAAAAAAAAAAGAAACGTAATAAAAACGAAAAAATTCAATATCAGATATACTAAACAATTAAACTATATTTAATCATAGTTTATATCAACATGATTTTAAGTTACATAATCATGGTGGACAATCTAAAAATAACTTCTATACAAAATAACGCGAAATAAGCTCCGAAGTATCTTTTTGAATAATACGACAAAAATCACAACGAACGCTTTCCAGGAAAATTACTGATACTGTAACATATATATTTTTAGAACCATTATGGCATATAGCAACGAATGGCTTCCCAGAAAATTACCGATATTAAATATAGTGATATATTTGTAGCAAATTATGACATATAATCATAATAATAATCAAATTTTCAGAAACTTCGGTAACTGTAACATGAGTTTTTAAATAAATCACTGAATATCTCGATTTAAAAGGAGGTATGGTTACTGCTAAGATCATTTGGTCTCTTAATCTGATAGACAATAAATATTACTGACATCAGCACCGTCGAGAGATTCTAATTTTTCTTTACGTATAGTTTCATCTTTTGTGGAGAACTCTAAACATGTAAGAGGACTTTCAATTTGCTTCAACAAATGCTCTAACTTCTTTATCTTCGTCTCCAGTCCATTCGTTGTCTGCTTATTCTTCGTATAATAAACGTTTCTATGCTTAAAAACTGTTAAATAATAGTTGTAAACTTTTTAAAAATTTTGTTTATATATTGACGAATTTATAGCTACCTCAGTTAGGATCACTAATCAGATTTCTAGGTATGGCGCAAAATAAAAAATCAATTTTTGAAAAAACGTCATAATTCAAAATTTTGCTTATGAAACCACACTTCTGCACTCTAGCAACAAAAATTCTTTGCAAAATTTTAGCATAACCAAGTCATATTGTGATGATGACCTAATTCTAGCACAATATTGAATTGTTTGAAAAAAAATATAATTTATAACCAACATTAAAGTGGCACATGTAATTTGCTGATAAGGCCAGACCAATTTAATTCTTTATTTACATAGTCCACCCATTTTTTCAAAATTTTATAAAAAATACACACCGTATTAACTAATCAAATGGCAGTATTAGTTTTTATATTTTTTATATTTATTACAGCCAACAGAATTGCTGTGTTTATTAATTTGTGTATTTTTCACACCCTCTTCCACTCTTATGAACTATTTAATGTTATGTTAAACAAAGAATCAAATTGGAGTGGTATAAACAAGACGTGTGTACCATTTGATATTAGATATCCATACTATATCCTGGGTCTACACCGGGTATATTGACTGATAATTTGTATTTGCTTTTTAAAGATTGAAGCACCTGAATTGTATATTTCTATTGTTATCTTGTTTTTCAATTTATTTAATTTATCTTTTTTTTTTTTTTTTGATCGTATTTAATTTTAATTTCTATCTAATGATTTAAAATTTTGCTCTTATTTATCTTGTATCAACCAGATAGCAACTAATACAAAGCTCATATTGTACAGTACAATAAAATAAAACCGAAATAATATTAATACAGTATAAAAGCTTGTTATAAAATTCAATTTATTCCTTTATTTGTTAACTAAATTTATAAAAGCTCAAAAATATTATGTATATTTAAAATTTAACTAATAACCCAGATTGAAATAAACTATTAGAGATTAAACTAAATAATAAGTTTATATTAAACAATTACGCGATTTTTATACACCTGCACCAACTTTTCGATGTTCACTAAAACTTCTTGACTTTTTCATATGAAATATCGCATGGAAATTACATCTGTACATTGGATGATACAAATTAGAAGTGTGACAAATACACATAAATAAATTTAATATATATGTTATAAGTTTACAAATTACATGCAAAAATGAGTTAGAAATGACTATTAGGAAGATTTCATATTAGCTAAGCTTAATAATTTTTTTTATAAAAAGCACATGATGTTAACATTTTTTGTAAAGCTATTAATAAATTAAAGCCAGAACATTACTATCAATCAGTGGACATATCCACCCTTGTAAGAAAACCTAGGTTAGATTGCCACCTAAAAATTTCAGACCATATTTAAATCTTTCATGTCCCTACGTATTAAGTCTTCATTTTCAAGGATAAGATAACAATGACAATAAATAAAATACAAATTTATGGTTGCTTTTTTTTATGTTATATTTATAGTTTTTTTTTGACTTTTATAATTGCGACCAGAACGTGTAGAATATACATATATAGTGTACTGTATTTTATAAAGTTTTGAAATGATGCGGTACAGGACGAAGACACATATATATATAAAGATAATTCTGTACTGGATGTATAGAATGTGTGTACCGTAAATACAAAATCACCAACCACCAGTCGGGGCACGGTTAAGGATAATTCGACCTTCTGATTTCATTTTATTTTGACACATCTATGCAATGTAAACAGTCGATAAAGTTCATTACGTGAATAAAATATTTTTATTAATAAAAACAATTTTAAGCCAGTTTGTCACTTTAATTCCTGAATTTACAAACTTTTAATCAAATATTCAAACAGATCACTCAAGTAACTTTATCATGGATCCAACTTTCATCAATGAATTATTATTTTATTCATTACACTAAAAAGTTTTTATAAAAAATCAAAAAAAATCAAAATCATTAAACGGTCCAATAACAATTACGGATGCTTATCACTTTTAGACAACAAATCATACTATTTTGCAGATACATAATGGAGACGGCATCTGATAAATAAAATGAATTGCTCAAGTATCAATTGATCATTACAGTTACTAGCTAATCGCATCGAGAATAATGCTTGAAAAAACCTTAATCATATCATCATTTGCATATTAGAATTGAAACAAAACTTTTATATAAATATAGTTGTGCAATATTATGATCACTAGCTAATCACATCGGGTTGATGTTTGAGAACGCCCTAAGAAATATTACCGTGCCTTTAGTAAATGGAGCTATAATTATAAGACAATAGAATATTAAATACATAAATAAAATTCTGTAGTTCGGCTATGATCTCTGCCGCAGGTATTATTCCACCGTGTAATAAAATGATTTAGCTAAAAATTCGACTTTTTATCATTATTTTGTACGTAACATCTTAATGTTATCGAACTGATGAAATCGCATGCACGTGCTTATGTAATGTGTCACGAAGTCACATACATTTATTCACACGCTGTATATCTGCCAGATTCAATTAAAATTTTACGCTTGATAAAAATGGAGTTAAAGTTGTTTGAAAAACTTTCAAATAATTATCTTGAACTTCTTGATGATAAAGAAGATTTTAATGTGGTTATTAA